AAAAAAAAAAAACCCGCAGTTGTGAACGAAAAGTTTTTGCTGTCATGCTGTTTACATTACGTTTGGTGGTGAGGGCTTGGGGGATGTAGAGGAAGGATCATGAAGACATGGATACTGAAAAGGCAAAGAGCCACTGGAGGGAACACTGGGGTAGGGGAGTCATGGGTACACAGGCTTGGCCTGCTGGGTTTGGTGATAGGAGGTTTGGGTCTCACAGGAGTGAGAGGCGCCTGGGGTGGATCTCACTGAGTCTCCTGGGTCCCAGGGAGGCACTGGATTTGCCCTAAGTGGGAGGAGACAGGAGGAACGGGGAGAAGCAGCCCAGTACCCAGCAGGGGCTGTGGAGCAGGAGCCAAAGTGAGTGGGCCCTAGCACCCCGCGGTGCGGGAGGAGGCACTGGGGCTCCCTGGGGTGGAGTTTGGGGTTTTACTGAAATTCCCTGGTGTTGTCACTGCACAGGGGTTGGGCTTGTTTCTGGCTTCCAAAAGAAGTTACTTAATTTCTCTGGCCTGTTTCCATATTGATAAAACAGATGTAGAACTTTCTTCGGAAGGCCAGTAGAGGCATTCATTTATTCATTGAGCAAACATTTACTGAGCACCTACTGTGTGCCAGTCTCTCTTCTGGGTGTTGGGGGTATATCATCAGTTACAAGAACAATCCTTGGATGCGTAGACATTTCAGCCCGAACAGAGCTCATTTGTAGAAACTGGTGTGTGCACGCCAGCTGGTGGCTGCCATTTGTTGTGCTCCAATACATCATCATGTGCATGGCATTGCTGTCACTTAGAGCAGGTGCCCAGGTGTCTGTCTCCTTCACAGCCACAGCCACTCCCCTCTGCCCTCCCTCTCATGGATTTGGGATGCCATCCTTTGCAAAATGGACCACAAATACAGGGTTAACTTCCACACGGCCAGGTTTCCCAAATATCCCCTGGCCCTTGGGGGTCCCGCTTGGAAGGATCACATCCTGCTTTTACCCCGTCCTTGCTGTAGGGCCTCAGGCAACTTTCTTCATCCTGTTCCAGGATCGCAGCTACCTGGTGCAGCACCCTTGTGCAAATTGGGTGCTCCCTTTCCAGAGGAGCCCACCCCGCACCAAGTGCTGCCTAAGGAGTGGCTGGTGCATTTCTTCAAATTAGAACACAATACTCCTTCCCTTGATGCAAGCAAGACAGGCATGTGGCTTGCTGAACAAAGCACAGGCTAGAATTTAGGCAGTGTTTGCCCCTCTGCCCAGTACCCTCGTGTAGTGAACACCCACCCATCTGCACAGAAGTCGCATGGCTAAACCACAAGGTTGTGTGAAGCTGAAGTGAGACAACACTCATTGCAGACACTCAGCATGGCACCCATCACATATTACAGACTATATAGTTGACCTTTGAATAGCACAGGTTTGAATGTGCAGGTCCACTTACTTGTGGATTTTTTTTCCAATAAATATATTGGAAACATTTTCAGAGATTTGCAACAATTTGAAAAAAACTTACAGAGGAACCACAAGCCTAGACATATATTTTAAAAATTAAGCAAAAATTAAGTATGTCACGAATGCAAAAAATATATGTAGGTACTAGTCTATCTTATCATTTACTGCCACAAAATGGATGCAAAGCTTTTTTTTGTTTGTTTGTTTTTTCTTTTTGAGACAGGATCTGGCTCTATTGCCCAGGCTAGAGTGCAATGGCATAATCTCGACTCACTACAATGGCATGATCTCGGCTCACTGCAACCTCCGCCTCCCAGGCTCAAACCATCCTCCCACCTCAGCCTCCCAAGTAGGCATACACCACCATGCCCAGCTAATTTTTTTGTATTTTTGGTAAAGACAGGGTTTCGCCATGTTGCCCAGGTTGGGTAAATCACTTATAGAAAGTTAAAATTGGCCGGGTACCGTGGCTCATGCCTGTAATCCCAGCACTTTGGAATGCCGAAGCGGGTGGGTCAACTGAGGTCAGGAGTTCGAGACAAGACTGGCCAACATGGCAAAACCCCATCTTTACTTAAAATACAAAAAATTAGCCAGGTGTGGTGGTGGGTGCCTGTAATGCCAGCTACTTGGGAGACTGAGGCAGGAGAATTGCTTGAAGCTGGGAGGCAGAGGTTGCAGTGAGCCGAGATCACACCATTGTACTCCAGCCTGGGAGACAGAGCAAGACTCTGTCTGGAAAAAAAAAAAAAAAAAAAGTTAAAATTTATCAAAAATATATGCACACAAACACAAACTCTACTTGGTGCCATTTGAAGTCAAGAGAAATGCAAGCAAACATAAAGATGTGCAGTATTAAGTCATAAGCACATAGTTACTGTAGATATACTATACTGCTGTAATAATTTCGTAGCCACCTCCTGTGCTGTCTCCGTGAGCGCAGCTGTTGAGTATCTGCTTAAAACACCACGTGAAGCTAATCATCTCCTGGTGAGCAGTTCTCACCAGCACATTGTGTATAGAAGTGAAAAGCGATGTCTCGTAGTTATTGCGTATTTTTCACCACGTTTAGTGCAATACGGTAAACTCTGAATAACCCCCTGGGCCTCATATGCGGGGCTGCTAGTGATGCCAGACTGCTTCCAAGAAGCAAAGAAAAATTACAACATTACAAAAAAGGGTTGAACTGCTTGATATCTACCATAGATTGAGATCTGCAGCTGCGGTTACTGCTGCTTCAGACAGACACTTTCTCTTATAAACAGACAGCATAAACTTACGGTATGAATAAATACAGCACAGTGCTGTGAAGGTATTTTCTCTTTCTAATAATGTTTTCAGTAACATGTACTTTTCTCTAGCTTACTTTCTTGTAAGCATACAGCACATAATACATATAACATACAAAATATGTCTTTTTTCTTTTTTTTTCCAGAGACAGGGTCTTGCTCTGTCACTCAGGCTGGAGTGCAGTGGTGCGATCACGGCTCATTGCAGCCTCGATCCTGGGCTCAAGCAATCCTCCCACCTCAGCCTCCTGAGTAGCTGGGACTACAGGCACACACAACCACGCCCAACTAATTATTTTTATTTTTATTATTTGTAAAGGTGGGGGGGGGGTCTCACTATGTTGCCCAGGCTGGTCTTGAACTCCTGGCTTCAAGCAGTCTTCCCGCCTCAGCCTCCTAAAGTGCTGGGACTACAGGCATAAGCCACTGTGTCTGGCTTCAAATTGTCTTACTCAATTGTTTATATACTGAGTAAAGCTTTTGGTCAACAATAGGCTATTAGCAGTTGAACTTTGGGGGGAGTCAAAGTTATGCACAGATTTCCCACTGCGTGGGGGTTCGGCACCCCATCCCCACGTTGTTCAAGAGTCAACTGCGTGGCCGCTGCCCATCACTGCGGGACCTTGCATTTTCCCTCCCCGGCTGAAACATCTTTTCCGGCCAGCCTCCGTTCCCAGCTCCAAGGCTGCCCCCTTGCGAGTTTCACGTGGTATAACAGTGTCATTATCCTGCCTCCTGCCTCCTCTCCTACTCCGAAATCAAATGTTCTCACCTGGCAACTGATTTCAGCGTAGCGTGTCCTCAAGTGCATCACCGGAGTGACCGCTCGTGTGGGTCAGAAACAGATTGCCTCCTCCTTCCCGTAAGTACAAGGCCTCTGCTCGCGGCCCACTGAAGACAGGCAGGTGAGGACGTGCAGAGGGCAGAGACAGACAGACGAGGAAAGGGGCCGACGTGTGCGGGGGCAAGCTTACCTCCCCCTGCCGCCTTGCTTTGGCTCCGTGCTCCTCTCTTGACTGGGGTGCTGCCCTCAGCAGGCGCCGCTCTCCGCTTGAGTGGCTCCAGGGAGGACTCCGGGCCAGGCTGCCCTGCAGTTCCTCCGAAGCAGCCCTCCGCAGGGGCCTGGAGACGCAGCCGGGCTCTCCTGCCTCATGCTCCTTCCCCCGAGCGGTGGCGTTACTTCTGGGACGTGCTCCCTTGCGTTCTTGCCGCACACACTGTCTTCAGGCCAGGACCCCTTCCCAAGTAACCGGTCACCAGCGGGTTGAGCACCACACTCCAGGCACCCGTGATGAGCCCCAGCTTCCGCCAGGAGCCTCCCAGATTGGGGTTCAGGAAGCTGGCCACGTTGGAGGCGTTGTAGGGTCCTACGCAGAGCAGCAGCGTGAGGAGGGCCCCGCCGGCTACCCAGGCGGCCCTCAGCTTCCGCCTGTGCGTCAGGCCGGAGTGGGCCAGTGCCCGGAGGCAGCCCACGTAGCAGAAGGCTGTGATGGCCAAGGGCAGGAAAAAAAGCAGGAGAGAGAGGCTGAAGCGGGCCGGGCGGGCAGAGGCCGGGTCCCAGGCCTCCAGGCAGACGGGAGAGCCGTTGACCGGTGTGTTGATGCCCAGGGAGGTGTTGCTGTGGTCCAGCCAGCCTCCCGGAGCCTCCAACACAAAGACCAGACCCAGGTGACACAGGACGAGGGCCCAGATGGCCGCACACACCCCCCAGGAATAGCACGGCCTCCGGAAGGCTTGGTAGCCCAAGGGGAAGGCCGCTCCCAGGTAGCGGCCTGCACTAAGGGCGGCCAGGAAGCCCCCGCCGGCATAGAGTGGAGCAAAGTGGGCCACCCCGAAGACAGGGCACAGTGAGGCCGGCAGAGGCCAGGCCCCGGAGGCCAGCGCCTCCACCGCCTTCAGGGGCAGGGAGACTGTCAGCAACAGGTCGGAGCAGCCCAGGTTCAGGGCGTAGACCAGGCTGGGGGTGAGACGCAGCCGGGCGTGGGCTGTCGCGCCTCGGATGGCCAGGACGTTGAGCGGGAAGCCCAGCGCAAAGGCCGCCACATAGAGGGCAAAGGAGAGCTGCCGGGGCAGGTCCATGGGGCCACTGTCCTGGCCTGCAGGGCTCCTGCGTGCAGCTGGCTCCCTGGTCTCAGATCTTGGGGCCCCTGAGAGGAGGGGCTCCTGGGATCACTCACGGGTTCCAGCCCTGCCTGGAGGATTAGAATTCACCTGATGGGATCACGGAGGAAACGGAGGCCCACAGAGGAAGGCAGCAGCCAGGGAGCCGCCGAGCCTGGATGAGAAGCTGAGACCTGTGGCCCCTAGTCCTGTGCTTTCTCTCCACTATATCACTTCTTAAAACCAGGGAAGCTCCTGGAGTGTCACAGGAGATAGGATGTGGCACAGATGTCCAAGCCGACTCCCCCAGGGTGCATGGCTGGGTGGTGCAGAGGAAGAAGGCTTCTCCATTTCTGAGATTCTGTAGGGAGAAGGGGTGGAGAGAATTCAGAACAGGGCTGGGCCCCACAGCCTGAGCCTTCCCTGGGAATGGGAGTTTGACTCCTGAGCCCACTGCCCTCCCGGGTTCCCTGGCAAGGCAAGAGCTGCTCCCCCACAGTGGAAAGTCGGCAGGGCAGCAGGGAGGAGAAGGGTGTGGATGAGGTGAGGGTGTGGCCAGGGGCAGGAAAAGGGGGTCCCCCAGGGAGAGCTCAAGGGTCAGCTGGGCCCCATCCATGTCATGGTTGAGCTTAGCAGTTCTCAGGGGCCACCTGGGCAGGGGTCTGGAGGTCTGGGGAACAGTTAGGTGAAGAGAGGAACCACAGAGAGAGGGACCCACCTCCTGGCGCTGCCAGATGTCTCTGAGGCTCAGCAGTCCCCTCAGCGGGCTGATGGAGGATGCCCGGGATGAGCAGTGAGCCGGAAGGGGAGGAGGGCGGGTGGCAGGGCCATTAGCCTGAGGTTCTAGCAGCTTGGGTGAGCAGCTAATGGGGCATCCCGGCTGGAGGTGAGGCCACACCAGAGGAGGTGAGGGGCTGGGAAGATGCTGGAACACAGAGGGGCTAGGGAGGAATCGGGGTCCTGTCTGGGTAGGGGCCGGGTGTGTAGCCAGTGCCTTGCAACAGCAGGGCTTGGGGGCTCGGCCACAACCCAGTGCTAGTCCCTCCCCAGCCCTCCTGCTTGTTTATACCTGCGCTGGGGCCAGGTCTTCTCCACCCTCGATGCACCCCTGGGCAGGCCCCGGGTCTCACTGGCTCACCTCTGACAACACAGGGTGCCCCGTGACCGCAGCCATGAAGCCATCTCCACGTGGCAGTGGGTGTGTGGGATAAGGAGTGATCACACCCAGGTGCGGCTCTGCACAGGTTGTGGGCTTGTTTTCGTTTTTGCAAGGAGGGGCCCCTCTGTTCTGCCTCTCCTTCCCCTCTAGTTCCAGGATGGTGGCTTCTGACCTTTCCAGGGCTGGAGAAAGGAGCAGGAGGAGGAAGGCAAGGGATGGGGGCAGCCTCTGCTGGCTGGCACTGGAGGACCCAGGTTGTGGCCCTCACTTTGCCTGTCAAGGGGTGGCACAAATGTCCAAGCTGACTCCCCCCAGGGTGCATGGCTGGGGACATTGGGGGGCACTCCCTGAGGCACAAGGAATGTGGCACCGGCCGGCTGTGTAACTTCCTTCTCTCAGCCCTGGGAATCCTCCCAGCCTTTCATGTTTCCCATTTGGGTCACCTGAGTCTCCCAGGAGGACCTAAGGAAGATTTCTAACCTCTCTGGATGCTCTCTCAGGTGTGCCCATGCCTGCTGGTGAGAAGCCAGCTCTGCTCTGTGATTCTGTCTCTGTCTCTCACTGTGCCAGTGTCTGTCTGTCTGTCTGTCTGTTTCCTGCCTCAGAATGACAACACAGCCTCTCCACATCAGTTTTCTCAGGCGTGTGTGGGTCACCTGACCACTCTGCCCCTTCCGAATTCCAGATCTCCCATCATAAACCTCTCTCTGTGTGGCCTCCTGGCAGCTCCAGTCACCAGGCTTCAGGGGGAACAGCAGGGGGGTCTCAGCCTATCACTAACTCCCTCAAAGACACCATCTCACTGCTTTTCACACCTTGGGGTCACTAAATTGGTCCATGCTCTCCTTTTTCTCCCCCAGCGGGAGCCGCGCATGGGGTGCAGCACCCGCTGTGAGCAGAGAACCGGCCTCCTACTGTTCCGTCTGTTGTTGGGAACCGAGAAATGGACAAAACCAAGAAAGAATCCAAAGCAGTGCCATTTCCCCTCCTATAGCAAAAGTGAAGCCCCGGGAGCCGTTGGGTTTTCCAGATCGTCTCTGCTTTGGCTCCACCCACCTGGCGTCTGGATCTTTGCCCAAGGTCACCTCCTCCAAGGGCCTTCCCGGGTGCCTCAGCCACACTGATCCCTCCCGTGAATCTCACTTTTGTTGTCTGTCTTCAGTGCGACATCGTCTTGGCTGGCTCCTGAGCTAGAATGCCGGGCCTCCTGAGGGCAAAGGCTGTGGTCTGCTTTGTCTACTGCATGTTGCACAGCAGGTGTTTGGGAACCTAATTGCACGATCCATTATCTGGACCCTGGGAGGACGGTGAGAGCTGGGGTTGTGGAGGGCGGCTTGCGTCTGGAGTCCTGGCCGCCCAGCTTCCTGGGCACCTGCTCTTCATGCTTCAGCAATGTCTATTGATGGCCACATTTCATGGTCAATCAGCCATGTAGTAGGTTTATGTCAGCAGCTGTGCTGAGGGACAGGGTGGGAAGGGGAAGACGCTCGATGGTTGCCAGGGAGCCTGAGCCAGGACCTTCAGGCTTAGGACTGCCTCAGCTCCCTTCAGGGGGTCTTGCCTTAAAAACCCTTGGCAGCCCTAGACTACAGATCCCCAAGGTTGGTCCTATGCCTTATCTTTTTGGTGCCCTAACAACTGGCTCTGTACTGGGTGCATTTCCAGGTGCTCAGTATCTGTGTGCCGAGTAAATGAAAAAAGGGTTGAATGACATCAGACCTCATTTTGGGCACAGACACCCCAACACCCTCCCTGTCTCATTTAAACAGTTTTTGTTGTTGTTGTTGTTTTGAGACGGACTCTTGCTCTGTCACCCAGGCTGGAGTGCAGTAGTGTGATCTCGGCTCACCGCAACCTCCACCTCCCGGGTTCAAGCGATTCTCCTGCCTCAGCCTCCCAAGTAGCTGAGATTACAGGTGGGAACCACCATGCCCGGCTAATTTTTGTATTTTTGGTAGAGAGAGGATTTTGCCATGTTGGCTAGGCTGGTCTTGAACTCCTGATCTCAGGTGATCCGCCTACCTCGGCTTCCCAGAGTGCTGGGATTACAGGCGTGATCCACCACGCCTGGCCTTTAAATAGTTCTTAAAGTCTCACCTGCCTCCAGAAAAGTGAATGGTGCTCATGAGAAATCAAACCAGGGACAAAGTGGATTGATGGGGAGATCAAGGCCTCCCTGCACCATAATTCCTAGAGTTACCATCCAGGTACTGAGCAGAGATGGGAGGGAAAGGAGGATGGGAAAGGAAGGTGGCAGTTTGGGGAAACCTGCCACGTGCCAGGAGCCGATCTCCTTGATGGTCAGATAATCACACCCCTGCCCTCTAAGGAGAATGGGCCCCTTTGCCGAAGCAGGTGAATGGGTGGAGAAAGATCAAACCTGAGAAGCGAGAGGGGAGCTGGGGCACCTAACTGGAAAGCCTGAATCAGTGAAGAGAATTAGGGAACGGGTGCAGAGGACCTTGAACGACAGCAAAGCCGTGAGGTTTCTCAGGGTGGCTGGTCTTCAGGACTTTCTCTGGCAGCTATGGGTTGTGCAAGAACTGAGTAGCGTCACTTTTGGGAAGAGCCGTTTTGAACTGGCTTCCCCTTTTCACATTCTTCGAGAAATGCAAATAAAGGATGGGGGTTTGTTTTCTGGGGGACTTTCAGTTTCTGTGCTGGGTCTCAGTGTGGCTCCAGCATATATAAGACGATGCCTCACTTCCTATCGTGGGCCACCTGCGTGGTAGGCAGTGGTCTCTCCCTCTCCACTTTACAGATGGAGAAAACAAGGCTCAGGCAAGCTGGTGAACCCTGCCAAGATCACTGGGCTAGTTAAGCCAAAGAATGAAGATTCAAGCTGTCACGCTTGTCTGCCTGCAGAGCCAGTATGCTTTTCCTAACAAGACACCAGACTCTCTAATCTGCTGGTCTGATCACTAAACCACTGTGACTCCATTTCCTTCCCCCCAGGCCCCGTGAAGCCTTTCCCCTCTCCTCATCCCCACTCTGACTCCACAGACTGAAAAGCGTTCGCTGGTTCTTTGAAGTGGCATCTGAGCCATTTTTATTGTGAGCTCTGTCTCCATGGCATGTTAATCCATACCAGTGTGTCCGTCTCAAACCCGGAGTCCTTGGAGTCAAGGGGGCCGCTGTTATGTACGCCTCCCTGTGCAATGCCTGACTTCCAGAGGGGAAGCCAGGCCAGGACGGGGCCCTTTCCTACTTCATTTCTGTCCTTTTCTGGGCTCTCCCCCAGAGGCAGAAACTGGGCATAGTATTTGTGACTGGGGATGTCAGATCAGGGGTAGGGGACCAGAGAGATGTAGAAGGGAAGGAAAAATGATGACAAGCAGATCCCAGGAGGGACACAAGCCGCTGGGGGTGGGGGTGGCCAGTGGCCGTGGTGGGGGCAGGGGGAGGTGTGCATGTCAGGGCAGGTGTTTAGATGGGTTTCTGGGTAGCAAGGAGCTGGGTGGAACAGAACAGGGACAGGAGATTTGGAGTGTTGGGGTTACCCTCACCGAAAAGGCTGGCTCTGAGCCAGGCACAAGGTTCTCCACAGTGAGCATGTGTGTGGGGGGTGTGTGTGTGTGTGTGTGTGTGTGTGTGCGCGCGCGCGCGGAGGAGGAAGCCATGTGGTGGTGTCTGGGGAAGCTCTGGGTCTTCCCTGGCCCCTGCTGCCCCCAGCGCCTCCGCCGCAGTCCGTCTGGTGTCAGTGCTTGACGATCACATAGTCCACATTTTCTTGTGTCTGAGGCCGCTCCCCGAACCCAAACTGAATCAGCTCTGAGTAATGAATCCCCTCATCTTCTGGAAAATCTGGAATGACGTTCTCATAGTCGCCCTGAGAAAACCACGTGGTGGTCAGCCTGGCCCCGCTGTCACCAGCCTCCACCGCTGCTTTTCTCTGCATTCTCTCCTTCATTCCACCCGGGGCTCCAAAAGCCCAGGCGGGCATCCTCGTGTCAGGAAACTGGCTGTGGCCAGTATCCAGGACCCAGAGGTACCTGCCTGGCTCTGACCCGCTCTGCCAGAGCAACCGTCTCCAACACCCAACCTCTGCCACGATGGATGCCTACCCAAGTCCTT